TTCGACTCAGTTGACCGCGAAGCTCTGATGGGCTCCCTTTTTCGAAAAGGAATGCCCCAGAAGTACGTTAACCTACTGAGGTCAATGTACTCACATACCTCCGGTCGTGTAAGGGTCTACAACGAACTAAGTAGGCTGTTCGTCACCAGCAACGGCGTTCGTCAAGGGTGCCCTCTTTCGTTGTTCCTGTTCAATTTCGTCGTAGACGAAATACTGGAGAGCGCACTAAGGGGACTCATAAACGTAGGTATTGAATGGACAGCTGGCGAAAAGCTATGCGATTTGGAGTACGCCGTTGATATCGTCTGTCTGTTCGAATGTATGGAGGACGCGCAAGGTGCACTTGATGGATTAACAAGTGCAGTGGCCACATTCGGTATGTGCTTTGCACCTTCAAAGTGCAAAGTAATGCTAGAGGACTGGGTTTCGTCTACTCCCACTCTGATACTAAATGGCCAGGATTTAGTTGTGGTGGATTACTTATCCTACTTAGGTAGTTGCGTGACCAATGACGGTAGCGCAGCAAAGGAGATAACCGCCCGCATTTCCAAGGCTCGAGCAGCATAAGCGGGACTGAAACAACTTAGGCGTAGGCGGGACGTTTCGCTGAAGTTAAAAGGTCGTGTATATTGTGCTAGCGTTCGTTCAGTCCTGCTTTATGGTTGTGAGACCCTGAATTTGCGAGTAGAAGAGATCCGTCGACTAGAAGTTTCCGATTATCCGTGTTTACGCAGTTTAGCCCATGTTAGATGGAGCGAACGGGTTAATAACGTCGTGTGTTTGGGAGTCTGTCAGGTATAAATCTGCTAGCATACCGAATTCCGATCACTAGGCTTCGCTGACTAGGGCACGTGTTGCGTATGCCCAGCCATCGTCTGCCGCACCTCTCTTTATTCACTGTAGCTAATCCGGGCTGGCGGAAACCACGTGGAGGTCAACAGATGACGTGGAGACGAGGCATGAAGAAATGCACAGAGCCATTAGGTAGAGTAGGTGTCTCTCGCTTTCCAGGTTGGGGTCCAAAAGACTCCACAACTGGTTGGTTGGAGACACTGAAGGATTTGACAGCGAACCGGCAGCAGTGGCGTTCTTGTTGTCGGTTCTTATCAAATCAGAATGCTTGAAACGGTATGTATGCATAGTTCGATTGCATACTCTGTGTGTTGACCATAGTGGCTCATCTTCTTCTCCCTTCCTCAAAATAGATCCAACCCCTGTCCACCTTAAATTTTACCACTAACCTTGTATGCATTGCGAGTTTGGCGGTGGTCAGTGAAGTTCGCTTCACTGTATTTCGCTGTACGATGATGTGATGAATCGTGAACACTGCCATCAGCTATGTTTGTGTCTTAGTACCGCGTTTGTTCCTTGGCTTGCGCAAACTCCTGTACTTCATCAGATATTCAGGTTTAGCATTTAGTCATCACAATCCCCTGCTTGGTTTGAATACATCTGGCCGCTTTCCATTGGTCGTTGATCAGATCCCTGAGAATTTAAGGATAACTCATCGCGGGTGACGAAATGGGAAGGTGAAACACCAAGTCCGTACGTGTGGATACATGCATAGCTTGATGCAATCATTTTTCATATACATCAAATCCTCCACTACCCACTTGAAATTAGTAGCTAGGTTGTGAAAGTTTCCAATCGAGTCACAACCCTGGAGGCTAGTGCTGAGATGAGCAGGGTCTGTGGCCCGCAACAAGCTCGCAAAGATGGGTTGTGCTATATCGTGTAAATGGAAAATGAAAAACGGTCTGATCAGCTGCCCGGTGGCGTAGTGGGTAGCATGCTTACGTTCTGTCCAGGAATTCCCGGGTTCGATCCCCAGTTGGACCGATGGATTCGCACAGCTGATGAGACCCAACCAGGTGGAAACTGCTGTCCAGTGCTTACCAGCTTTTTAGTTCACGTTTCATTTGCTATATACACAATGAATTCACCTTTGAGATATACACACCTTCATACACTTACATACCCACACATGCATGCACATACGCTGGTTCGAACCACTTTACACTAATAATATCACACATATCGCCCTCTTCCCAGGCTATATATACTGGGAGGGTCCATCCTTCCACTGATTACACAAGTTTCTTTCCCGAAATACATTATGCATCGTTGATTACCGTTTTTTGTATTTATTCTACACCGACTACTTTTAAAGCAGCAATATGATATCCTTATGCCACGTTGGCAGTTTTTCAAACTAGCAATGAGACTGCTTTTGAATTTCTCCTATGATTGATTTTTTCAGCCCTGGAAACCATGTCCACAAATGCTATGGAGACTGGTACATCAGACGCACTGGTTGCTGTGGGTATGGGCTCCGGTGGCATAGTGAAACTGTACGATCTTAATGCTCGTTCCAAAGGTTGTGTGATCCAGTGCACTTTACCAACAGCCAGTGGTTCTGTGGAGTCTTGCTCGTTTGTCCAATCGTATTGCCAACAGAATGTGGAAGAGACAGGGGCTAGCAGTAATCCATCATCTACACAATCATCCCCACCCGGGTCTCCTCCCAGTCTACCACAACGTGGTAGTGAAACATCACGCGCGTCCTCAGGATCAGCAACCACCGCCTTTGGTGAATTTGGATTGGCCGCGGGCGGGCAAAACGGTGAAGTAGCTTTTTGGGATATTCGTTATCCGAAACGCTGCTTGCTGCAACTGACACGTAAGTACTAAACGCGATAAGTTGTTTTTGTTATAAAAACTGTATTATTTGAATAGTTCACCATCACTCTCACCTCACCCATTCAGCACATTGCAGTTCGTCATGTTTAACCCCAGTGGTAGTAGAGCATTTTGTGCTACCACTCACTGGTGCAAATGTTCGAATCCCGAATTGCAACACTGAAGTATGGCCGCAAACCACTGTTGGCCAGATTGAAAACACAGACAGAGTGAATAAAATTCGCCACATAAATTTGGACGATCGAATGACGTCGCTGAACATTTGCTCGTTGTTTGCCGGTGTGTTTTGTATTTGTATTTCACACACGTCTGAGGCAAGACGGTGTGTCAAACAAATCACAGTGCAGTGATTGAAACAAGGGTTTTCATAGTTTGTTTGTGGGCGGGGTAATGCCTGGTTACCCAGGTCCATTCAGGTTCGCCAGTGTGCCCAGACTGATAATTTTAAATTAGGCCTTCCTTTGGATGACCTAAGTAACTGCTTTATTACTCTGCATATAATACTTAATTGAAGTTTTAACGGCGAAATCTATCGACAGGAGTAGCCATGTGCTGTGCTGGGACCACTTTCCGCGGACATGTTTATGGCAAAATGAGAAAACACTCGATTCTCATCATTCATCGTACTATATGCGCACGTTACGTGGATCCTATTTTTGTGTGATCAACGCAACATCGAACACAGCCAAACTTTCAAATAGGATCACTCATACCCCTCCAAACACCAAGTTTAACCTTAGAAGTGAAATATAATTATCAATTGTCGTTTCAAAATATCGGTACCACTCGTCGGTCACTTGGTTCGGTGCATTGAAAAGCATTCTGAATTGTTTCGTTTCTTTTTTGAACAACCATTAACCATGCGCTTTCGTGTCCCTGTTTTGGTTGCTATCTTCGAGTTGTCCATTTGGACGGACAGTAGGAGAAAGACAGGAGAGGTGATAGTCGAATAGAAAATGTAGAGTTTCAGTGGACTAAGTTTCAAAAGAAATTGAGAAGATGCACAAACGCCACTGTTTACGACACTCAGCCACATCACTCAGTGTATCTAACCATCGGTCACGATCATCTCGAAGTCCCCATCCAGGGAGCCTAAAAGGACCTATGTGACCCACACCCCTGGTTAGTGTTTTCATATCCTCATGCAAGGTCTTAGCTTGAGCACCCTTGACTTTTTTCACCCACTACTTGCCTCTGCTAACATCGCTCGCCGTAGCAAGCTATCTGGTGACATGCGTAACACATGTCCCAACCAACGTAATCTGCGGGGGTCGATCACTTGCTCCAGTGGGCGGCCGTGGTTACCTAAAACTCTTCGCCTACCCTCAGCATTGCACGTCCGGCTGCCCCACCAGATTCGTGCAGTGCTGCGTAGACAGTGGTGTTCAAACATCGACGGTCTATCTTTATCCTGTTTTCTTAATGGCGAAGTTGCCGCTCCATATAACAGAACTGGCCGAACTGCTGCAGCATACACTCGACTCTTCATAGACAACCGGATGTCGCGATGGCGCCACAGATGTCTCAAATTGGTAAGTGCCAACCGAAAATTATGTATGCAAGCTGATACTTCATCTGTGATGCGTCCATCGGGTGAGATGTAGCTGCCCAAGTAACAAAACTTATCCACTTCCTGTATTCCCCAGTTAGAGTGAGGTTGTGTGCTGGACTAACCCAGTCTGATAGTAAAATTTTACACTTTGGGGATGCAAAACGCATACCAAACATGGCTACTGGATTGACCAATACATTATCTTTCGAATCGTTGTACTGCTTAATGTAAAAGCATCTATCCCGTTGCCCAGCAGATAAGGCGAGAAAAATCTGCAGTGCGAATACACCAAAAGACGAGCTCTGGTTTATATAACCGATCTTTGGATGTACTTGGTATCTGCAACTATTAGGTAGCATGATTCAATTCACGCAAAACAATTAGCAAAGCACCGAGGTTAAAAAAGTTTGTTTTCATTTCCTTGCCTTTCAAGGGGACTAAATTAGTTAAAATTATGAAAGATTATCGTAAGAGGCTCTTGTGTGTTTCACCTCCAAGCCAGCTGTTTTCGATTGAAGGACAAAGTTTCTGACTCTGTGGACTCTTTCTGTGTGAAGCAAGGAGTATAAGCCGCACGCTCAGGCGATTTTTCGAACGGAATCGTGAACTTTTGAACAAGTTAGTGATTCACTGACTTTCGGAAGCCTCAGTACGATTGGGGTGGGTGTCTTGGGTTGTGGCTGCTCGCCATTCCTTTGCACCTCGCAAAATGCTCAAATACGACCAATCGTCTCGAATAGCACCTGCTTAAGAAGCCCTGCTCACTGCCTTCTCATGACGGAGGTGTTTTCGCACCAAAGTGAGAAGACGAAAAATCGACATCCCGGGCTATAACCGGGTTGATGAATCTCTGGTAGTTCACCTAGGGGAGTTGGCCAAAAACCCTTATTCCAAACCAACCAAGAGGAGGCGTACGAACTACACACCCTCCCGGTTGTGGCAGTGGTCACAGGCTCGATTGGGCATCGAGGCATATTGAGCACCTTGAACGTCTGACCCCGTCCAAAGGGCATATGATCCGATGAACTGGACAGCAGCCCCCAATTGATTGCGGTTTTCACACACTGCTCCACTGCTTTGGCTAGCCAAAGGCTCCGGTTGTGAATTCCGCAGGAAAATTCAGCTACCTTGGCCTGGGCAACCTGGGAGTATTCCGCCCGCATGCAAACCATGGGACTTTTTTCTTTTTCCTTATGATTGTTGTACCATAATTTGTTTGACACACATTCTGGACTCAGACGTGTGTGACAAATACAAAAATAAATGCTCATGATGGAATCAATCCGAGTTATTTTTAGTGTATTTTCTCTCCAACACAATTGTATTTCTAATTAATGATACGTATGTTTTGGTTTGCTGACATGATTGCCAATCAATCTAGCTTGTTCGTCATTCTGTTTTTGTGTGGAAAGTATGGCAATCTCTGTCCACCATAGGGACCCTCTTTATTTAACACGATGTGATATACAGCAAAGAGGGTAAACGTCATAATCAATGACATACTGTAAGAAGGTATGTGGGGGGAATATTCAAGTGAGAGTCGTTTTGTGATCCTACTTTTGAAAAAAGTGAGATTTTAAGTACTCGGAAACATGAAGATTGGAATTGTTCCACAATTTCGCAATCGTAGGGAAAAAGAAGATAGAAAAATAGAAGTCCGACATCTGAGGATAGAAATCTGATAAGGGTGACCGCCCGCCTGGGACCGAGAAAAAGTCACTGGGAGGGGAACCTCTGTAGCGAGTTAAGATGAACAAGAACCAAAATAGTAACAATAGAAAAGAGATAANCTGCCCGGCGATGGGAAAGCGACTGCAGTTTGGAAGTTAAAGACTGTTCGTCGATCAGCCGGATGGCCTTGCGTTGAACACGGTCGAGGAAAGAAAGAGCGGAATACGAAGCTCCACCCCATATGTGACTGCAGTATTCGAGCATCAGGCGGATTTGAGCCTTGTATAAAAGGTGCTTCGGTGTAAAGAAACGCTTTGCGCGGAATAGAAAACCGACTTTGCGCGCAGCTCGAGAGGCAAGTGTAGAAATAAAAGGGGACCAACAGAGAGAAGAATTTATGAATAAACCCAGATGGGAGAGAGAATTTATGGAACGAACGAGCAGTGAGTCAAGAATCAATTGAGGAAAATAGGGGACACGTTTAAGAGAGATTGAGAGGAGAGAAGTTTTGGAGGTATTGAAACACATGCGGAGATTAGTCCGAGATCGAAGGTAAGAGAATCCCTAATGACATTGTGATCGTGATCGATATTGATAATGGCGTGACGGGTTGTTGGGTAAGAAAGAGAACAATGGAGAGTGGCACAATCGCCATAGCAGTGGATGGGATTGGGTGTTTTGGGCAAAGATCGTTGATAAATGGAAGAAAGAGGATGGGCGAAAGTATTGAACCTTGGGGAACACTAATATTCAGAGGGAATGGTCGAAATAGGACCCCATCGACACGGACCGAGATGATTCGTTTGCTGAGGAAACATTGGAACCACGATAGGAGAGACTGGTGGAATCTGAACGCGGGTAATTTCGACAGCAGACCTTTATACCAAACGTTGTCAAAGACCTTTGAAACGCCAAGCGAGACCATGTGCTTTTCTCTGCGGTTATCGAGTGCAGTTGACCACGAATGTGATATGAGCGCCAGTAGGTCAGCCGTAGATCGACGAGGGCGAAATCCCTATTGACGTTCATTCAACAAACCTCGTTAGAGAAACGTACCCAGCAACTCGGAGATAATTGTTTCAAACACTTTCGAAGTTAGCCGTGAGAGTGATGAGACGGTAGATGTTAGGGCCGGAAAGATCATCACAATCTGGAATAGGAAAAGTAATGGCATTTTTCCATGGAGTGTGGAAACATTTGAGATCAAGTGGAGAACAAAAAGGTGGCTTCAAACAGGGGCACATATTTTTGGGACGATATGTGGAATACCGTCCGGCCCGCATGGTTTACAAACATCCAGACGACGAATTTTTCATATTTGCCAATATTCCACCTTCGTGTATTGCCATTACCATTAACCATGTTTTCTACTATTCCAGATGAAAAAAGCGCTGTTGTTCAAATTCGGCTCCTATCCGACCCATTCAGTCAGAGTGAACGTACAGTGACTATGGTTGTTGGACACAGTGACGGTCGAGTTCTGCTCTATCGGATGGGTCCAGGTCTGTGGTTTACCGAAACAGAACAGCCGGATACGAACGGGCGTTCTCCCGTCCAATGGTCCACATTAGAACTGACTGGAATCAACTGTGAGCCGGTTCGCGGTCTCTCTACAGTGGTTAAATCGGATAAAACGCGTGGTTTGTGTGTTTGGACTGCCTCGCGCAGTGGTGTCTTTCGATTCTACGGACCTCTTGCCAGCAGACGGGCGTTTGAATAAGAACTATTCAACTTCACCTTGCCTTTGTTCCTTATTCCCTGATGCAGAGTCTCCAGATATCAACGTTACGAGTTCAATTGACTTCTGTCCACGCTGTACAGTGTGCATGTATCCCATTTATTTGATTCATCCTGGTTTCCTTTCTATATCGGACACGAGGCCAAAATGTAAGCTTGTTTTGGAGTTCGCGTTACTCTGATTGGTGTCGTTCAATGGAAATTTCGTACTTCTCGTTGCTGTGGCTGGTTGTTTTGCCTGAAACTTTTAAATATTCTTGAATGGCGGAATACTTTATGAAGTACACCGTTAATTGTAACACGCTCCAGGCGAACCCGAATCCACTGGCCAATCTTTGTTTCATGTCTCGCGCAGAACACGTGGCCGTCTCTGGAATTCACCCACCTGAACTGAATGGTTTTTCTATTGATTGGATGAACGTCAGCGTTCTGTGTTGGCAAACGGGTGTATCATATGTAGCATTGTGTTGTGACTTCTGAAAGCACTGTAGCGCAGTTTAGGGTTACAAAATTATACATGCCTACCTTGGAGAATGAATTCACGAATACCATAGAGACAGTTCATAGTTCAAAACTAAGACGTACTTCACTCTCTTAGTTTGAGTATCTATGAAAGGAGAATTTTGCCAAATGGAACGTTCTGGACGGGTGGGATCAACGGTGTAATGGGATTTTTTTATTGTCTGCGAGAATCCTTCCACCAAAGTTGACACGAGTTTTGTGGTGATCTGGAAGTTTCACAACTAACTCGTTCAGGGTGAACGATTAACTCACATTCGTCGTGGTCAGATGGGAGCAACCTTCAGCCTACGCGATTGAATTTTTTTGGTTCAAGCTGGACGGTGAGTAAGTAACGTCACAAAAGCCAATAAACAATCAAAAGAGGTTCTCACAGGTTTCAGACAAACTTTCTGTTCATGTGAATAACAACAGCGTGTGACAACGATTGAAAATGTAAAAATTATAAATGTGGCGGGGAATGTGTAAGTGTGGCGTAGTCGATCGATTCGCGCGTGTATACCAGGCAGGATAAATGAATACATCAACCCTGACCATACATCTGACTCACACACCTTTGAAAATATTGGGAAATATGGAAAGCATTCTGAACCGTACTATGCCAAAAGAAAAGTAATAGAACTACTCGTGGCAAGGTCTCACTAATATCGTACCTTTGTCAAACCTAAGCATTTTGGAACTTATGAATTTGTCATGCCAATAATATAGTCAACATCTACAGTCACAAAAAATGAACTCAAAATCGCTAATCTATCGTACAATAAAAGAGCATGTTCAAATAATGTTTTAACAAACCAGGCGCAGTCTCCAAGTCATATTTTTCAGTATTAAACATAATGTGAGCTAAAGTGAAACGGGAAATCTCCATAATCAAAATCATACTGTAAAAGGGACATTCACGAAATATGCATTTTATTGATTCAGCGTCTAAAGAGTATGAAGTTGTAAGGTGGAGGAAAGGCAAAAAGTGAGAGGGTGTTCGGTAGTTTGATGAGAAAAGATTATCAATTCGTTGATGCTTATCTACAGCAGGCTCCCTTCACAACAGTGTAGTTTCACTCACGCACATAAACAAGTGACTGTTCTTTTGTGTCACTTATGTGGCCCGGTGCTCGGCACATTTTCCCCCGTCTACGCTTACTTGACAAACGTTGACCCGTTTATTCTCCATTCTATGGAAACGCTTAGACATGAGGCGAATGTGAAGTTCATCGTTGTTGTGTTCACTATAACTCTTAATATGCATGGAAGTAAATCCTTTAATCGGACACAAACTGGAAGCATCGTAATTCACAAAAAAGTACGTCGTCAGCTGGCCCTGGCCGCACAAGTCAGCAAGCCACCAATCAATAACAAGCGGACACATGGTTTAAATCTGATTGGTCAGTGTAATCAACGTCCCGTGTGAAAGCTTCTTTGGAACTCGCTAAGGCTTCGATACAATACCATACAAGAGAAACGTTCGTATCATGTTCGTGTGTGTATATGCATCGAGCATTAATATTCCGCTTTCAATGGGAGCAATATACACAACAGTTATCCAACAAATGCGTTAGGTCATACAACAGCGATTGCGAGTGATGTGCGACAGTAACATACACCAGCGTGGAGTTGGTTATGTGAATGGATTCCACCCGGTTTAACTGTGGCTGGAATGCTGATTCATTTGGTGGAGCTGATCAATATCGACTCCTGACCTAGTAGATCTTTACCTGATTGACGTTGTACAGCTTGGTCGAGGAAATATCTTATGTACCAGCGGAATATTTACCTAACCAAAGGACATCAACAACGGAAACCACAGGAACAATTAATGCAAATAAAACAGTACGTGATATTACAGCTCTCGTGAATTCTGATTTGACAAGTTCTGTATTGGCTAGGTATGGTATACAAAAAAGCCACCGTGAGGGCTAAGTTCGATCCTTTGGTTCGGATGAGTCGAGAATCGATCCTGTTGCTCAACAAACATGCATCCAGGTATAATTATGGGAACAGGCTGGAGGAACATATGTGATGGCTTTACTACAGGCATTACCAATACGATTCTTCAGACGGAACTGCTTGCGGAAAACGTATTATCGTTTTCCGATACTGTATATGTGGGCAACATGACCTCACTCCAGGGACCGCCGGTGAGTCGGTTACCATCGTCCAGAGTAATTCGGGAACGAGTAGATCTTTCATTCAATCCGAACATTCTCAGATCGGTAAGACAAAGCGCCATAAACAGAGAATCCCAAACACGGACAATAATCGGTCTGTATCGTGCGGTGAGTTCCTCCTACGTTCAACATGCTCGTGGGGACAGTGGTCATATTCAGGTTTATCCTCATTGGCGAATAGTATATATGACTGTCAGGAGGAATCTAGCCTGAGTCCATCATTTCTGGTGGAAATCTCAAGCATATGTGCCAAACGATAATCTGTAATCAACTACAACGCGGGTCCACCGTATTAATGCTCACCTTCCGTAACAACACTTTCATACTTATTCGATTATTGGTGTCAGAGTAATCAGTCTATTCCTGGGTCGAGGCTAATAACAAACTTGATGCATCCATTATCCGTATAAACAGGTAAACGGATATCACTGAACAAATATGAAAGATACTGTCACCCCCACCCTAAAAATACAGGAAGAATGACTGTACCTGAAGCGGTGTTTGAGCTCGACGATGAGCCAGTATTTTTTTAAAGGCGTGTTTTATCATAGGAACAACATGAAGGAGTATTGAAGGCGGTAGGGCTGAAGGTGTTATTTCGCGAATAACGTCATCAAGGGTAACTCCGATTATTATACCAATTTAAAATGTTGGGAGAACCCTGAGAGTATGCAGTGATTATAGATTAATACTTAAACCTCGATCACGGATAAGTGCAGTCACTACAATCGAGAAGAGGATAGGAAGTTTTCTGGAGCAGAATTGCTTCCAAAATATGAATGAGTCTGTTGAAAGAGCTGCTTGTGGCTGGGGTATGAGAATATTCAACTGGTTCAATCTTTTATTATGCATGACTGAAGTCAAGTTTGGTAAATTTTTGGCCGCCCGCTAATTCTGCCTACAGAGCCTGCATTCATGTCAGTGGGTATGTCTCCAGCTGCGAATGGATTCACAGTAAGATTATAATCACCACAAATGCTTTTTCCTCAAGCCATTTCACCTGGAGAGCCATAGTGGTAGCCGGTAGCCAGGCACTCGCATATATGCTCTTCCAGCTTGTCTCCATAATTGCACGTGGATGACTGTTCGTTGAGCAACAGGACAAGTTCTCGAATCGCCAAAACCAAAGGATTGAACTTTATCTTCTCGGTAGCTTGGAAATCGGCGGGAATCACGTGGGNTTCAGCACTTCAAGTAGCAGTTTGACCAGATTCTTAGGGAAACTAAGATTCTGCAGCAAAGCATTAAATTAATCGGAACAGGCACGAACTGTGAATTACAATCGCAATAGCAGATGAAGCACGAACTGCACTGGCAATCGTCTGCTGGAACCTCCCATCACTGAGATACAGGGCACAGAAGTAGCGGTTGAATTATTGAAATAAATGAATGGCATTAGGTAATTTAAACAGAAATGTTATTCAAATTGTTATTTGGCCGATTAAAATATTATTGGTTGAATAGGCATCGACCAATCGCGGTTTTTGTCTTCCGAGTCACACGACTTCCGCTTGACCTACGGGTCATTTATTGGTCGATAGTGGTGGTCAGTGGTGTAAAAAAACTGGAACGTATAGCCACTTGACTGAAGGATGCCTCGCTACAAGATTATATTTCCTTTCCACTTGTCGTTATAAAATAAGCTTTACTAGAGATCGAAAGGTTCGACCCTTTTATCACTCGCGGACGGGTGTGAACGTTGCTTCAAGGAAGCGATATTGCGTAACTCCTCCCCTCTACGGAACTGAATAATAGCAACTCGGACTTAATAGCGTAAAGCTAAGTATCAACAAGACGAGTTGTATATATAGTTAATTTCTTTCCGAAAATCGTGCAAATAAATATCACAAATGTCCATTAATCATTGGTTCATTCTTCGGTTTCCAATCAACAAAGACATTGTCCGTTTGGTTGGCTGCTTGCACTTAGCCACTCAGATTGATCAGACCACAAGATTTTTCGGAAACTCAGTTTCCCGAATGGCGACCTGAAAGTTGTATTGCGGTGCATGTGTGTCTCGCTGCACTATCACCGCATACCTCCAAGACGACGCTTTCATGAAATATTGAAAGCAAGATTACTCCTTTACCTTTTTTACTCAAATAAAAAGAAGCAGTTTTTCTGTGTTTGCGATGAAAGCTTCCACGAAACACAAAAATTATTATCCCATTTATTTTTAACTTGCCATTTTAATAGTTTCACCTTTTTTACTATGTTCTGTATCCCAAACGCCCCCGTTATTGTTGTGGTGCTGGCACAATGCTTGTCCGCAAGCCGGTGTTAAATATATGTATATATA